TTGAAGCTGGTGGAAGTGTCACTTGCTTGCATGAACCCTAATTACCATTATACTGATCTTAATCAGCGGATTAACGTCACTTAATCTGGCTTACTGAAAATGATATCAACACAGCGTTTCTGGCATTCTCTGGCATTTCGATTCTTGACGACATATGCGGTGACTTCACGGACAAGAAAGTAGTGAACCAATCCTCCACAACACCATCGGGCACCTTAACATTGGCAGCCCGTTCTTCATCGATCGTTAAAAAAGACTTCTCGAACAAGGGAGATTCATCATGACCCTTCTCACCAGTTTTACGACCGGAGTCGTGTTTTTTCTTAGTTCTCTTCTCCGCGCCAGAAGAAGCACCAACATCCGCTATCTTCACCAATTTCCTCTTCTTCCTCCTCTCTGGTTGTTCCAACTCCAAAGACTTCGGAGAAGAGGGCGGAACCTCGGTGTGGGCGACCTCGGCCGCAACCAGCTCCGTCCCTGCCACAACAGGCTTAGGATCTGCTTGGCTAATAGCCGTAACGTTCATAACTGGTGGCACCTCGGTAGTTGTCACCTCCTGCAAGGACTTCGGGCTCTCCGGAATAGCCGCCGAAGTCGCACTCGACCCCACCTCGGCTGATTTTTTACCGACGTTCTTTTGGCCCGCAGTTTTCTTCACCAAAGCGCGAACTAAATCCCTCCTCATGATGTTGGTTAACCGCAAATCTCGACTTTTGCCGAACTTGGACTGCAAATCTTTGTTGGGGAACTTACGTCTGAACTCCTTAGCCTCCTTGACTGTGCTATAGCCTAGGAATCCGAGGAGCGGATAGTATACTGCAGTCAAAATCAATCAAAGTTATTCACTACTGTTCGGTATACATAAAAGCGCAAGTAAAACCAACAGCTATGGAAAACTCATTACCGGGGTCAAACTTGACAGTAGTAACTCCGGGAGATAATCCAGCCGCCTCAAGTTTTGAATCGATAACAAGCTTGCGATAATCTCGGACCTCCTTATCCAAACTAGCAAGTGTGATTAATTTCCCACCAAACTCTGGACTCAATCTCGGTTCTGTTTGTTTATTCTCGTTTTCTACAAAGAGCAAAAGTTCCGACCTGTTAGTACACAGAACAAGGCAAAATCAGAGAAGTGTATCCAAATCAAAAAATAAAAAAGACTCACTTGCTCCATAATGAATGAACATTGGAATCGTCATCCCGTCAATCCGAGGTTCATGAAAGAAGCTCTCAGACTGCCATTCTCCTCCAATCCACAACCACTCTTCTTGGAATCCATGAAGAGTTTATGGGATGTCGGTTATTATTTCACCAACTTCTAAACCATGCTGCGGCTTCGCTCCGGCAAAGAAGCAGCATGAAGACTCCGCAACGTGTCTCCTTGGACTTTTCTTAAAGGCAAAAATACTCCTTATTTCATCACACGATGGCAGCCCATCGCCCTGCTCGTGCAGCAACACCATCAGACCAATTATTTTCTTCCAACTATTGGGAGTAATCTGACACAACGGCAGCCCCCAACTCCGAAGATACTCGGTGATCAAGCTCGGTAACGGGAATCTTAATCCCGACCTCAGACTTTCAACAAAAACACCAACACACCCCGGAGGAGGACTGGTTATTCTCTCCCCCGGATATGGAGCAAAAATTTTTACCGAAGATGGGATCCGAATCTGTTCCCGTAGCATCACCACATCCGCATCAGTTAGGATGCTGGGCTCACCTTCGAAGTCGACCGCAGGATCAGGCCACTTCCTCACCGGCCTCCTCCAGTGAGGCACCTCAATATCGGCCGCGTTCTCCTCAACCACCCGATCACCATCTTCGTCATCGGGCTTAATATCTAAATGTCCTACCAACATCGGATCCCACCGATGATACTCAAAGGCCAATTCGACCAACTGAGAATCGTGATACACATCCAAGGGAACAGATTCGGTACTAGAGGAACTCGCCACCGCTTTGCCCTTACCCTTTGGTGCCATTATACAACAGAACAGAACACAAAGAAAATAGAAGAAAAATTAGAGAAAGAACTCACCGAAAAATCCACAAACACACAGTGCGCAAGAAATAACTATCAACTCTCAGAGGAATTCCAACAACAATATGATGCAAAAACTCAAGGATTCAAGCGAAAGTGAAGAAAGCTCGATTAGATGTCGTAAAACCCTATTTATATTTTCGATTTATGACCGTTGGGGAACTTAATTAGGGGCGCGTCCGACCGACGCGACCCCTAATTCCAACCGGCGCCACCTCTTCATCTGATAAGACGCCTACTGTTACACGTGGCAACCTATTAAAGCCGACCGTTACCTCATTCAAGACCATTACGGCGCGACCGTTCATTCTAACATTAAATCGTTGACCGTTACGACTATTCACATTCCTCCTGTCGCGACTGCCTGCAAATTACTCGAATTTCACCAAGTGTCTTCACCTCGGAGTACAGTCTACACTTCGGAATAAGCAACTCACTTCGGTTACCTCGGTTACATCGGTCGGGAGACCGAAGATGACTCTCCGAAGATGATAAACACTCTGCTGCTGACTTTTTACCGAGTCGGAGCCTCTAAATGTTTTGCAATATCGATGACCATCACTCCGTATGCCCACCAACATTGGGGGCCTCTCTGTTATCATCCGACTCGGCAAAACACCATTAAGAGGGTCTACGCATCTTGTTAAGTGCAATTACATGTTGAACCGACGTGATCCGAAACCGTACCGACTCACACAAAGAACCGGTCTACACTACCAAAGACCGAAGTGACCAATATCCACCTAGGTCTACTTACACCGAGGTCGTCACCTCCTCAAGCAGGTGACAAAGCACCTACACACAACCATCACGCTCAACGAGATTCGTCATCATTCATGTGGGACCCACTGCTCCAAACCGCCCACCAAAAGCTACTTTATACAAAAAGTAGTACGCAAATCCCAATGTATTCACCAAATAGTTACTATAAATAGTGAACCCATAACATTTGTACGGGGATCTCTCTCCGAACTCATAAAACACCCTTATGCAACACGCAAAAGCCCATCACGGCTCTTCACCTCGGTTCACCTCGGACCGGGGCCATTGTTGAGTTATTTCTACATGCTTTACGTCCAAATCATTCATAATTCTCATCTTAATCACGTGTTACATCGTTGTTAGAAATCACATAACAACACGGGTATAGTTGTTGTTTTTGTTTATGCGAGGGAGACGAAGGCGCGCACCTCGAGAGGAGACTTCACCAATCGACCTTTTTGTTGAACTCAACATAGATGAGCCTCAACCGGAATCCGAAACAATGGCGGGACAAGAGAATCGAATACCACCACCTCCCCCGAACATGAGGTACTTCGCACGACCTATCATTGGAGATAACACTTCGTGCCTCGTGCTCGGGGAGGCGGCCCGAAACTATGATCTCAAGACCATCCACCTAAACCAACTTCCATCATTCTACGGCCTTGCTCAAGAGGATGCTCTCAATTTCATCCGAGACTTCTATGCAACCGTCAACACATTCCCACTCCAAGGCCTAACCGAAAACCAACTCCGGATGAGATGCTTTCCCTACACGTTGAAGGATCGAGCCAAGACTTGGTTTATGACGTTGCTCCTGAATTCGCTCACAAATTGGGAAGCCGTGTATGAAAAGTTTATGGGAAAGTACTACTCGCATCAAAAGACCACCGATCTCCGGACCCAAATGGCGAGCTTTAGCCAAAACATCGGTGAAACTTTTCACGAAGCTTGGGAGAGATTCAAGGGCTATCAACTCCAATGCCCACATCACCATTTTTGCCTCGGAGTCCTCAACCAATTCTTCTATGATGGGCTACATCAAACACTCCAATACATGGTTGACCATGCGGCCGGGGGAGACATAGGGAGTCATACGGAGGAGGAAATTTATAATCTATATGAGATGTTGAGTGAGAACTCACAAAGGAAGAGCGTCGTAAGAGGGCCCCCGTTAATGAGGTGACACAAACTACCGGGTCCTCGAACGATGCCGTGCTTGCTAAGTTAGCCGCTTTGGAGGAAGAGCTCAAACAACTCCGGCTAAGAGATGCAAAGTCGACCCAAGTGGTG